GGGGAAAACCGTGGTGTAGCGGGAATAGTCGTCCACCACAATCAGGAAGTAGCGTTCCTGACGTGGGCCAAGGACAGGGAGGGGCCCCAAACGTCCAAGTGCAGGGTCTGGAAGGGAGCCGTGGTGGGGGGGAACGAGGAGGAGTGAGGGGCGGTGCGCTGCTGACCCTCGACGCAAGGAGTGCACGGCGGCGCAGGCGAGCGAGGAAGCGGGGCAAGCGACGCTGGGAGACCTGAGACCAGACGGTGACGTACCATCCTACTAAGACGTGGGAACGACGGGTGACCTAGACGGTGGTGCCAAAGGACTGACGGGTGGGCGAGTGACCGACAGTCGCACGACACAGCAGCTACCTGACCTGACCTGACCTGACCCGACTCAGTGTGGTGGGACCCAGTGTGTAGTGAGTACAGACCAGATCCCGGCTCTCTGTGGAAAGTGGCCAGAGGCGCCCCAGTGGCACCGACAGTGCAGGAGGCAACAGGCTCGTCCAGTGGGAAAGTAGTGACTACGCCTAGGTCGTGGAGGTGACTGACACCCACCAGGTTCCTAGAGAACGAGGGGGTGTAGTAACCTGTAAGAAAACCTGAGGGAGCCGCCGGACACGGAAGAGTGGTGGTGCTGCTAGCAACTACACGTCCCACAGAGGGGTCAGCCAAGGCGACAGTGACTGGAGTGCGCAGTGGTGTGAGGTCGGTACAGTCGCGAAAGAAACAGCTGGACGCTCCAGAATCTAGGGTGAAGGAAAGCTGTGCAGTCTGTGGGGTCGCACCCGAACCAGCTACAAAGGCTAGTGCTAGACTAGTGGTAGCTGCAGCTCCTACACAAAGACCCTCAGAGGCGCCTGGACTGGAAACAACACACGCACCAAGACTGGAAACACAGGTCTCTACTCGTGCAGCCGGAAAAGGTCCTAGACCAGGCAGGTGAGACTCAATTGGTGCAGTAGTGCGCTGGCGAAGGCGTGAAGGCCAGTGCGGTGTAATAGCGTGAGGACCAAAACGCTCACGGTGGAGGTCGTCGAGTCGACGGTAGCAGCTGGACGCAGTGTGGTCAGGACTCCAGCAGGTAGTACCAGCACCAGGGCCTGTCAGGGCCCGGTACCCGCAGAGGCCGACGTCTCGCCCACTGCTAGCTGAGCCACTACTGGGGGCGCCACACTTTGGACCCGCAGGCCCCCACTGACGGGAGTGCTGCGGCTGGCCCTGCTGCTGTAGAACCCTAGTACATGCCATGTGAGCCTATGCTGCTGCTGGTTCAGCTGGGGGCAGCCTAAGCTGCTGCTGGTGCGCTGGGGGCAGCCTGTGCTGCTTCTGGTTCTGCTGAGGGGCAGCCTAGGCTGCTACTGGTTCTCCAGGGGGCAGGCAAAGCTGCTGCTGGTGCGCTGGCGGTAGCCTAAGGTGCTGCTGGTGCGCTGGGGGCAGCCTATGCTGCTACTGGTTCTCCAGGGGGCAGCCAATGCTGCTGCTAGTGCGCTGGCAGTTGCCTAAGCTGCTGCTAGTGCGCTGGGGGCAGCCTATGCTGCTGCTGGTTCGCTGGGGGCAGCCTATGCTGCTTCTGGCTCTGCTGGGGGCAGCCTTAGCTACTACTGGTTTTGCTGGGGGCAGCCAATGCTGCTGCTGGTGCGCTGGGGGCAGCCTGTGCTGCTTCTGGTTCTGCTGAGGGCAGCCTTAGCTGCTACTGGTTTTGCTGGGGGCAGCCAATGCTGCTGCTGGTGCGCTGGTGGCAGCCTATGCTGCTTCTGGTTCTGCTGGGGGCAGCCTACGCTGCTGCTGGTGCGCTGGGGGCAGCCTATGCTGCTGCTAGTGCGCTGGCGGCAGCCTATGCTGCTTCTGGTTCTGCTGGGGGCAGCCTACGCTGCTGCTGGCGCGCTGGGGGCAGCCTATGCTGCTGCTGGCGTTGCTGGCGGCAGTGTGATCGGCTGGGGCTACTGGTGGCGGGTGTGGCAGCTCGTGGGGAGGCAGGTTTCAGGTGGGGAAGCTGTTAAGGCAGCGGGCTACGGGTGAGGCGGCGGTTCTGTGCGGTTCTGTGCGGTTATGTGCAGTTCTGTGCGGTTCTGTGAGGTTCAATGCGGTGGAGAGGACTGTGTGGGGCGGCTGATTCCGGGTGAGGTGCCTGGAACGGGTGGGGCAGCAGGTTTCCAGGTGGGGCGGCGGTTGTCAGGTCTGGGGCGGCGGTTTTCAGGTCTGGGGCGGCGGGTTTCCAGGTTCGGCGGCGGATTTCAGGTCTGTAATGGTGGGTTTTCAGGTCTGGGGGGCGGTTAAGACGGTGGGCTGCAGGTGCGCGCGGCCGCGACGTACTAGCGCGAAGCTGCGGGTGCGACTAAGGCTGCGCGCGCAGCTACGCGCGTTCGTCTGCTGCGCGCTAGAGGGCTGGGGGGAAACGCGCGGGGTAAAACGAGTGGGGCGCGGGGCAGAAAACAAGTGACGCACGGCAAAAACGGGTGGGGCGCAGGGCAGAAACGGGTGACGCGCGATGGCGACGGGGGGCGCGGCCTACTCGGGCTCTACGGGGCAGGGCGCTTCGGGCTACGGGTCGCTACGAGGCGCGCGGGTGGTGGGCCCATAGACTATCGAGAGAAATTTCGCCTAAGGGAAAAATCGCCTAGGGGAAAAATCGCCTAAGGGAAACCTAGCTCTATACCATGTTACGATAAGAATGAATTGGTAGAAAATGAGAAGTACAACCCTAGATATAGCAAACCCTAATCATGCAAGGAAGTAGAAAAGTAACACCTAGACTAACCTAAACAACACATATAAAATATATGTTGACACATCCATCTCTCCGCCGCAAAGTACGCCGAGACCCTCGCTAAGAAATTCGGGATAGCTCCCGTCGGCGTCACTACCCCATTCCGCATTCCCCCGCCTAACCACGAGCCCGACACCACTCCGCTCTCACCAGCCGATCACCGTCTCTATCAGCAGCAGCTCGGATGCCTACTGTTCGCCGCCGTCACATGCCGCCCGAACTTATCCTACATCGCCAGCCAGCTCGCCCAGTACCTGCGCCGACCTGAAGGGGAGAACCTAGCGGACCTGCGCCGTGCCTTACAGTACTTCATCTCTACGCCCGATGTCGGCCTCACCTACAAGGCCAACCTAACAGCTCCACTACAACTCACCGGCTATGTGGATGCTGACCACGCTGGGGACGCAGACAACAGGAGGTCCCGCACAGGCTTCATTTTCAAACTTGAGCCTGCAGGCACCATCTCTTGGAACTCCAACAAACAAGAGCTCATCGCCCTCTCGTCAGCAGAAGCAGAATGCATCGCAGCAAGCGCAGCAGTTCGCGAAAGCCTCTACCTCACGGAACTCCTGCAGGAAACGAAGACGGCGATGAATGGGTCCTTCAAGTTACTCTGCGACAACCAGAGCGCGATCAAAATCGCCAACAAACCAGGCTTCGTCAACCGCACGAAACACATCGCCCTGCGTTACTTCTTCGTGAAAGACGAAATCGACAAAGGGAAGGTCCAGCTCATCTACTGTCCAACTGGCGAAATGGCAGCTGATTTTCTCACGAAGAAACTGACACGTCAGAAGTTCCAGTACTGCTCGGACCTGTGCGGAGTCACTCGCAAAAGCCACGTGGCGCACCTCCAGGAATGAAGGAGAGTGTTGGAGTGTGAAGGGAATTATACTTAGCATTCCCGTAGGTGCAGCAGTATCGCACCTGACTATGTCGAAGCAGCAACTATCGCAATATCGGATCAGCCCGTAACAAGGGCAGGAAGGTCAACAGTCGCAAGAGTCAACTGTCGCGACTGTTGACCATCTGGACCGACGCTTGACTTACCATCAAGGAATGGCAACAGGCGTAACCGTACAGGTTACATGCAGCGACTCGGTAACAAGAAAGGCAGTACAACAGTCAGAGTCACTGTAGAAATGCCTGTAAAACAGTTATAATAAGGGAATGTACCCCTTAGAGTACATGGCTAGACTAGGACTATTTATGTTCCTTGTATTCTATCTTTTAATCAACTTGGTCATTTACATTCACTATGATCTGAGTTCTTACAAGTCTTCCGCTACCAAACTCTACCAAAGCACCTCCTATTCTATCCAAGGTCCTCACTCTAACAAGATGATAGGCGGATATGATTTGGTGGTGGATACGGTAGATGATGCTGCGCTGTCGTGGTCTTGACTTTTGCTGCCACGCTGCGCGGTATCCAGGCGGTCCGGGCCGTCAAGGCGACGCGCACGGTCTGAAAATTTGACGTTGATTGCGGCAAAATTTTAGGCGAATGTTGTGCTGGACCCTCCAATCCTCCCCTTCCCCCTCCCCCCTCCTCCCCCCACCCCTCCCCCCCCTCCCCCCAATCACTGGTTTCATCAGTGACAGATTCGTTTCGCATCAGTCTGGACCATTATGAAATATCAGCCCTACGTGAAACAATGCTTGAAAAAAAGGTTGTACACTACAACAAACAACTTTGTGAAAAAAATGGCAAAGGTTCCCTACCCCAGTGATGAAGAAAAGTTTAGTAGAAATAATGAAATAATAATGGTTAATCCTTCAAAATACCACAATAAAGCCTTCTGCCCACATAAGCCCCCCATTTATTCGGCAGGCTGTATATACTGGGGAATATGGTATCCTTTTTCACCCAGCACTGACTGGGATGCGATTGTTTTTGGGAGAGCACTGATCAATCAGAGCTGAGGGACATGCAGTGGCTGTGGCAGTAGTTTCGGCTTTTTGGGCAAGTGCAGCAGTGGGTGCAGCAGTGGGTGCAGCAGCGGGTGCAGCAGTGGGTGCAGCAGTGGGTGCAGCAGTGGGTGCAGCAGTGGGTGCAGCAGTGGGTGCAGCAGTGGGTGCAGCAGTGGGTGCAGCAGTGGGGTGCAGCAGTCACAGCTCCTAGTCACTCGGCCCAGCTGTCAGGGAAAACCGCTTGGCCGCACTGGCACACTCGCCTCGCCTGCACACGCTCATTCCCGCACCCGCAGCCTCGTCGCTGCTGCTCTGGCAGCCTCGCCGTGCCGCATTCACTCCATCGGCACCTCTCCGTGCCGTGCCCCCTTCCCGCCCTCCAGCCCCCCCTGCTGCACGCCCACCGCGCCCGGTGCAGCCGCCCCCAGCAGCGCGTGCAGGGCGGAGGTGGGCGGCGGGCAGTAGGGCGTGGGCGGCAGGGGCGCGGGGTCGAAGACTGGCAGGAAGTGGATGGCGTGGGCAGATGTGTTGGCCTGGGAGCGTGCAGGCGAGGAGGGGCAGCAGGAGCAGCGGGAGGTGGGAGGGGCGGAATGGGGGGATGGAGAGGATGGGCTAGCAGGTGAGAGAACAGACAATGCATGTGATGCCTGATCATGTACAGCAGCATGTGGGGCAGCCTGAGCATGTGGGGCAGCCTGAGCATGTGGGGCAGCCTGAGCATGTGGGGCAGCCTGAGCATGTGGGGCAGCCTGAGCATGTGGGGCAGCCTGAGCATGTGGGGCAGCCTGAGCATGTGGGGCGGCCTGAGCATGTGGGGCAGCCTGAGCATGTGGGGCAGCCTGAGCATGTGGGGCAGAGGGAGGTGGGAGGGGCGGAATGGGGGGATGGAGAGGGATGGGCTTGCAGGTGAGAGAACAGACTATACATGTGATGCCTGATCATGTATCGCAGCACGTGGGGCAGCCTGACATGCGGGGCAACACTCACCTCGGCGTGCAGCACTCACCTCGGCGTGCAGCACTCACCTCGGCGTGCAGCACTCACCTCGGCGTGCAGCACTCACCTCGGCATGCAGCACTCACCTCGGCATGCAGCACTCACCTCGGCGTGCAGCACTCACCTCGGCGTGCAGCACTCACCTCGGCGTGCAGCACTCACCTCGGCGTGCAGCACTCACCTCGGCGTGCAGCACTCACCTCGGCATGCAGCACTCACCTCGGCGTGCAGCACTCACCTCGGCGTGCAGCACTCACCTCGGCGTGCAGCACTCACCTCGGCGTGCAGCACTCACCTCGGCGTGCAGCATGTCGAGCAGCACGGGAGGGATGGGGTCGGGGTGGGACGGCTGCTCCACACACATGGACACCATGCGCTGCAGCAGCGGCGCCGGGATGGTGGCGTACACCTGCATGGACGGGCATGGCGACATGCATTCCATGGTGGCAGTCGTAAGCACACAAGGCACAGTCAGGCGCACATGCCATGGATGGCACGAACGACGCACAGCGTACAGGTCGCACGATGCAACTACCCTGCCACTGACTCGCACGATGCAACTACCCTGCCACTGACTCGCACGATGCAACTACCCTGCCACTGACTCGCACGATGCAACTACCCTGCCACTGACTCGCACGATGCAACTACCCTGCCACTGACTCGCACGATGCAACTACCCTGCCACTGACTCGCACAATGCAACTACCCTGCCACTGACTCGCACGATGCAACTACCCTGCCACTGACTCGCACGATGCAACTACCCTGCCACTGACTCGCACGATGCAACTACCCTGCCACTGACTCGCACGATGCAACTACCCTGCCACTGACTCGCACGATGCAACTACCCTGCCACTGACTCGCACGATGCAACTACCCTGCCACTGACTCGCACGATGCAACTACCCTGCCACTGACTCGCACGATGCAACTACCCTGCCACTGACTCGCACGATGCAACTACCCTGCCACTGACTCGCACGATGCAACTACCCTGCCACTGACTCGCACGATGCAACTACCCTGCCACTGACTCGCACGATGCAACTACCCTGCCACTGACTCGCACGATGCAACTACCCTGCCACTGACTCGCACGATGCAACTACCCTGCCACTGACTCGCACGATGCAACTACCCTGCCACTGACTCCCACTGCTTACTCCTATCTCCCCTCTCGCTCTTCGCAACTCCCACACCCCTCTCATTTCTCCCTCCCCTCACACTGTGCTCCCCTTCCATGTTGCTCCCTGTATCTCTCAACGGAATTGGGGGTGACGCTCCGTTTTGCCTGGGATGACGCTTTGGGGTGAAGCTTTCGCGAGCGTCACCCTGACCCGGGCAGGAAAAACTAAAACCCTATCGGAATGGCATGCGACATTCGGAAGCCTAAACCCTAAAGTTTTAGGGTTGAGGCTCCCGGATGACATGCCGTCCATGTGGGGTTTAGTTTTTTTGCCCCGGGCAGTTTGTCGTTTTGTCGTCTCCTCTTTGTCGTTTCCTCGCCCCCTCCATTCCGTTGAGATATACTAGGCTGTCCCCCGCACCTGGCGCCGCACAGGGCGGTCGCAGGGGGCCTGCTTGGGCAGCAGCAGCACGTGCGCCAGCGCGCGCAGCAGGGGAAAGCACTCCCCCCGCTCGCCTATCAGCTGCTGCACCATGCCTTGCCCCTCACCCCCCTCCCCCTCGCGCCCTCCCAGCAGCAGCAGAGCAGCCGGGTCGTGCCTCTGACCCGTGCCCCCTTCACCACCAGCAGTGCCGCGCACCAATACACCTCCCATCGAATCACCGTCTGTCACCACTCTCCACCCCTCTCCCTGCCCCACCAGTCCATTTCCGTGTGCTAGCTTTTCTGCCCCGCCCTGCCCCTCTGCGCCCTCTGGCCAATCAAAGAGCTCCAGCTGGCCCGCCCAGAAGCGAGCGGAGGAGAGCAAGGAGAGCGGGACGGTGGGCGGGGGGACGACGGGCGATGGGGGGGGAGCGCGGGCGGCTCCGGGATGTGCGGCAGAAGCAGCGGCGGCGGGTGCAGCAGCGGCACAGCATTGCGAGGCGACGTGGGCGTCCATGTCTGCCAGGAAGTCACTCCACTCCGACACCTGGTGCCGTGCCGTGCGGTGCCGTGGGGGGGGGTTGGGAAGGGGTTGGGGAGAGGGAGAGGGCAGAGGCATGGCAGAGAGGGGGGGGAACAAATTGAGGATATACGAAGATACTCGGGCAGTGGCATCGGGGGATGGGTCACGTGAGGCAATCCCCCTTGTAGTTCTTTCAGTCACCCCCCAGAAATACAGTCCAGCAGGCATATCGTCCTCCCATGCTCCTTACAGTGTGTTTCAGCAGCCCGCCTTGGGCGGCCCAGAAGCGGCCATTGGCAGGGAAGGGCAGGGCGGCAGGGTCGGTGAGAGGGTCGGCGGCAGGGTCGGTGGAGAGCACGTCGTTGCCGGACCGCAGCAGCGCGTTGAAGAGCGCCGCGTCCAGCCGCTGCTCGCACTGCTGCAGCACCTGTGGGGGGGGAGGGGCGCAGGGGGTGGATGAAAGGAGGGGTGTATGAGGGGAAGCAGGGAAATGGATGGGAAGACAGGGATGAGGCGTTGAAAGAAGACGTGTGAAGCTGCTGAGTGGCGTGATGTCAAAGAGGAGTCGAGGGGACAAGAGGGAGAAAGACACGAGGGGAATGAAAGCAGGAGAGGGGATGAAAGAAATAGGATGAAATGGGAAAGAAATGGAACGGAGTGCTTGAAACGCGGGTAGAGGCAGCACTGACCTGCTTGAAAAGCGGGTAGAGGCAGCACTGACCTGCTTGAAAAGCGGGTAGAGGCAGCACTGACCTGCTTGAAAAGCGGGTAGAGGCAGCACTGACCTGCTTGAAAAGCGGGTAGAGGCAGCACTGACCTGCTTGAAAAGCGGGTAGAGGCAGCACTGACCTGCTTGAAAAGCGGGTAGAGGCAGCACTGACCTGCTTGAAAAGCGGGTAGAGGCAGCACTGACCTGCTTGAAAAGCGGGTAGAGGCAGCACTGACCTGCTTGAAAAGCGGGTAGAGGCAGCACTGACCTGCTTGAAAAGCGGGTAGAGGCAGCACTGACCTGCTTGAAAAGCGGGTAGAGGCAGCACTGACCTGCTTGAAAAGCGGGTAGAGGCAGCACTGACCTGCTTGAAAAGCGGGTAGAGGCAGCACTGACCTGCTTGAAAAGCGGGTAGAGGCAGCACTGACCTGCTTGAAAAGCGGGTAGAGGCAGCACTGACCTGCTTGAAAAGCGGGTAGAGGCAGCACTGACCTGCTTGAAAAGCGGGTAGAGGCAGCCGCAGTGGTGCCCCATGGCCCTGTGCGGGCACAGCATGACAGCCGCCTCGTGCTGCGCCGCCACCCACCGCTCTGTACCACTCAGCCCCGCCCACCAGGGCGCTTGCACTTCCTCCGCTGCACATTGTGGGCGAGGGAGAGAGGGAGAGAGGGAGAGAGAGGGAGAGAGGGGCAGAACGGGGGGAGGGGGAGAGAGGGGAAGAAGAGGGGGAGAGGGAGAGAAGGGAGGGAGACGGAGAGAGGGGCAGAAAGAGGGGGGGGGAGAGAGAGGGGGAGAAAGGGGGGAGGGGGAGAGAGGGGAAGAAGAGGGGCAGAGGGAGAGACGGGCAGAGGGGGAGGAGAGGGAGAGAGAAGGGGGAAGAGGGAGAGAGAGAAAGGGGGCAGAGTGGGTGGAGAGGGAGAGAGGGGGCAGGGGAGGGGGGGAAGAAGGGAGAGGAAGAAAAGGGAGGTAGAGAGGGGGAATGAGGACACGCAGGTGAGTCGAGGGCACCAATTGAGCAACAGCAATGAGAGGCTCGGCAGGAAAGGGCCCCGGCAAAAAGAGAGGCGGCTTCAAGTCACGAGAGAAGGGCGAGTCACCTCTGAGTGGCGGTGGCGGGGGTGGCGCGGCAGAGAAGGGCCAGAGGGAGTGCTGGGAGGCGGAGGCGGCACAGAGGAGCGCGGAGGACCACGAGGGGGTGAAGGCGGGGGTGTGTGATGGCGGGTGGAAGGGAGGCGGCAGCACAGGGGGGGGCTGCTGCATGGCTGGCAGGAAGACACGTGTCCACACCAGGTGCAGACACCTGTCGTGCTGCCATTGCTCCAGCTGCAGCAGCTGAGCGTCAAGGTGCGCCAATCTGCCCCAGGGGTCCTCAGAGGGCTCTCCGCGGTCGTCATGCCCTGTGCCGGGCGCACATGCACCACCACCACTCGCAGCAGCGCCACCATTCCCAACACCACCACTATCCCCCCCCACATCGCTGCCCCCAGTGGCCCCGCCATCACCTGTGCTCCCCCCACCCTTCCTCCCACCCGCCCCTCCCCTGCTCCGCTCCTCCGCCACCAGGGGCGCCAGGGCGGAGCGCAGCAGGGCCGTGTTGGACCACCAGAACAGCACCCGCGAGGCGTTGTCGCTCGCCGCCCGGGCCGCCAGCAGCAGCGCGCGCATCACCTCCCTCGCCACGCCTGCCACCTGCTCACGCCGCAACCCCTGCTCCTGGCCCTCTGCGCCTCGTTGCTCCCTCAGCTTCCCCTTTCCCATCGCTGCCCCTTCCCTGGCTGCACTCCACCCTTGCCACGCATCCCCCTCTTCCTCCTCCCCTCCCCTGTGCCCGCCCTTTTCTCGTCCCTCCGCCATCTCCCCCGTTCCATCGCACTCCTCCTCCACCCCTGCCCCCTCACCCGTACCGCCCCGCCATGCCACGGCCACCACGCGGGCCAGGCGCATGGCGGGGGCGTGCAGGCGCAGCACGGGTAACCCATGCCGGCCCGCCACGCCATGCACCGCCCGCGCCACGCCACTCGCGCTCCGCACCTCCCACGGCATCTTCCCGAACCTCCTCTCCGCCGCCTGCGCCCGCTCCTCAGCCTCGGCAGCCCGAGCCAGAGCGCCAGCCACGGAGGCGCGGTCGTGAGCGAGGCGCTGCTTGGTGGCGGCGAGGAGGTGGGCGGCGGAGGCGAGGTGGCAGCGCAGGGCGTGCGTGTGCGCCGCCACGTGCGCCGTGGCCGTGGCGGCCGCGCTGGCCTGCGCTCGCAGGGCGGCCGTGGCGGCGTCCTGCGCTGCGATGCGGTGCTGGCCGGCGCGGTGGCGCGCCTCAAAGGGCGCCAGGCGCTGCTTCTCCGCTTCTACCCGCTGCTTCTCCTCGCCCAGCCGCTGCTGCTCCTCGTGCGCCCACTGCTTGAAGCGTGCCACCTCGCCCTGCACGCGCTGCACCTCGCCCCTCTCCTGCTCCACCAGCTGCCGCTCCTTCCTCACCCGTCTCCACTCCATGCGCACACGTGCCGCCTCCTCGCCCTCCCCATCGCCATTGCCCTCTGAGTCATCGCTGCCTTCCCCATCCTCTCCTCCCGCCTCCTCCGCACCACCTTTTCCTCTCTCCGCGTCACCTCCACTCGCATAATCGCCACTGCCCCCCTCTGCCCCTCCGCCTTCCCGCTCCACCACCTCCCGCGCCACCGCCAGCACGCTGAACCTCCTCCGCCGCCGCCCGCCACCAGCACCACGTGCCCCGCCCTCTGGTGGCCTGGGTGTGGCGCCAGCGCCCAGCAGTGAGTCATCGACGCCCTCCACCTCATCGAACCGCCCTGAGCTGTACGGCCCCGGCACGCGCCGCAGCGCCGCCAGCACCTCACGCGCAGTCAGAGCAGAATGGCTGCCCGCGCCCCCTGCTGCTGCTGCTGCTGCTGACGCCCCCCCTGCATGCACACCGCGTGGCAGCAATCCCCGGTGCCCCACGGACGTGAACGCCCGCACGCCCCTTCCTCCTCTCCCCCCCTCTGCAGTGCGCGGCCTCCCAGCGCTCTCAGCAGCAACGGAGGGATCGTGCCAGTCGGGTGGGAGCATGAAGGGGCGCCGCGCACACGCAAAGCCCAGGGCGCGCGCAGAGGGCGGGGGGAGGGGTGAGCGCGGCGCTGAGAGGGTGCCGGGGGAGGGAGGAGCAACCAGGGGGAAGGCTGTGGAGGGGGGGCGAGGGGTGTGCGGGTCTGAGAGCGAGCGGTGCAGGGCAGGAGGCGAGGATGGGTGCTGGTCTGTGGCAGGGAGGGTAGAGGTGGGCTGTGCGGTGGAGGAGTGAGAGGGAAGAGGGTCTGAGGCTCCAGCTGTTGCAGGCGGTGCGGGCGCCACAGGTCTCGGCAGTTGGTCCTCCTCACTGCCCGCACCTCCCTGCCCGCCCACTCTATGGCTTTCTTCCACCCCGCTCGCCCCCCTGCCGGCCTGCCCCGCTGTAGCCGGGGGCGGTGCCAGCAGCACCCGCAGCTTGCTCCTCAGCTCCGCCACCGCTGCTGCCTGCTGTGCGCCACGTGGCGCGTGCTCATTGGACAGAGAGGCTGGGGATCCTGCTGACATGGCAGGCGACCCTGCTGACGTCACAGGAGAGCCAGCTGACATGGCAGGGGAAGAGGAGGCGAGGGCAGTGGGAGCAAGGTGCAGCAGAGGCAGAGGGCGAGGGAAGGCGGAGGGGACAGCTGGGTGGGGCATGTGAGTGCCTGCTGATGCTGGCGCTGTGCCCGCTGATGGTGGCGCTGTGCCCGCTGATGGTGGCGCTGTGCCCGCTGATGGTGGCGCTGTGCCCGCTGATGGTGGCGCTGCTGCCACGTGCTCTGCCCTCCCCTGCATGCCCCCCTCCCCTCCCTGTGCCATGTGCTCTGCGTGAGCGGGCAGGCAGGGCGCATCGTCAGACCCACACCTCCTGAAAGCAGCAGCAGCAGCAGCAGTGGCAGGTGTGGTGAGAATGCTGCCCGTGGTGGCAGCCCGTGGAATATCCACCATGGCAGGCTGTGCTGCCACCATGGCAGGCTGTGCTGCCACCCCCGCTCCCAACGACTGCTGCACCACCGCTGCTGCCACCGCCCCTCCCCCACCTGCCTGCCTCATGCCCTTCTTGCTCTGCCGCTTCCTCCCACTCCCACTCTCATCCGCTGCAGCAGAAGGGGCAGCGGGAGGGGCAGGAGAGGAGGTGGAGGGGCGTTGCAGAGTGGCCAGGGCGACAGCCGCACCAGGATTTATCGGGCGGGAGGACGAGGAGAGTGGAGAGCGGTGCAGAGCGGTGGTGGATTCTGGCGAGCCTCCTGTGGGGGTGTGGGCGAGCCTGAGCGCGGCAAACTCCCCCCCCGCCAGCGAGTGCGGGCGGCGACTGTTGGCTGCCTTGCGCGCCCTCTGAGGAGGAGGGGGGGATAAGATCATAAGAGCAGGAGAGGGAGGGGAGGGGGAGGGTGGGGAAGTGGTAGGGTGAGAGGATGTCGGGGGAAAAGGGGAGAGGGGGAGAGGGGAACAGGTGGGAGTAGGATGCAAGATAGGCGATGATGGAGGTGTTGGCAGATGCCACCCGTCCTGCCTGCCTGCCAGCACCACACCACTCATTCCCTTACCCAACTCCCCATGCCTCCACCTCTCCCTCCCCCACTCTTCTCCCCCATTCCCCTCAACCCTGCCCCCTGATGTCACACTTCCCCCCAACCCTTCCCACTCTTCCCCACGAATTTCACTCCGCTCCCCTCTCCGTCCCTCCTTCCCCCCCTCCCCAACCATGTGCCACTCACCAGCAGGTCGCGATGGGAGGGGGGGCGCGCGGCAGGAGGGGACGACGCAGTGGGCGGGGGGTGGCAGGAAGGGGGGGCCGCAGAGGCAGAGGCAGGAGGGGGAGGAGCAGAGGCGGGGGGGAAAGAGGCAGTGGCACTGCAGGGAGGGAGAGCGACAAGGAGGGGAGAGGTGGAGGAGAGGATGGCGGAAGGGGGCGAGATGCTTGGGGATGAGCCTGTGCCTGCGTCTGTGCCTGCCGTGTGCTGGCATGTCGCAGGGGCAGGCGACACAGGCAGGGGCGTGGGAATGGGAAGGTGCGGCTGCAAGCCCGGGTGGGGCTCCAGGGGCATGGACTGGCACAGCGGGCCGGGTGTGGCAGTGAGCACATGTGACAGGGCGTGAGCCGGCGCCACGTTCCTTGCGCCGTCCAGGTCGCCGCCTCTCCCCGCCGCGCGGTACAGCTCTGCCAGCGATGTGGCCCTCACCTGCCCGCGCACCACCGCCACCTGCCCCACCTGCTGCCCCCACGGATCATCCTCCACTGCCCCGGTAGCCCCGCTGTCTGCTTCTACTGCCTCTGCCGTGCCGGCTGCTGCCTGTGCTGCGGCTGCCTCTCTCCTCTGCTGCAGCTCTGCCTCGATCTGCTTCATGCCCCGCGCCCTCTCCTTCCCACTCCCACGCCTTGTCTTCCCAGACTCACCAGCAGCCACCCCCTCGGCAGCAGCAGCAGCAGGGGTGGCGTGGGATGGGGGCGCGTCAGCCTGAGCTGGGAGGCTAGGGGCTGAGAACGCACTGGTGGCGGACGGTGACGCAAGGGGGGTCGTGGCAAGGGGGGTGGCAGAGGCAGTGGGGGGGAGGGAGGAGGGGGGCGTGGCGAGGGGGGGTTTGGCATGGCGGCTGAAGCGGGTGAGCGCCGTGGCGGGGCGGCCAGGCACGTCCATGCTGCTGCTGCCCGTCCCCCCCCCCCGCCTGCTCGCCCTGCTGCCCCTGCCGCTGCCCGCAGTGCTGCTGTCACTGCTGCTGCCAGCGTCAGTGGCATCGGGGGTGGCGGGCGGGTGTGTGAGTGCGGCTTGCATGGCGGTGAGCTCCTGGCCGCCATACGAGTGCCGCCTGCCCGCTGCCTTGCGCTGCGCCCTCTGGGGGAGAGGAGAAGAGGGTGGATGGGAGAGGAGGGTGGATGGGAGAGGAGGGTGGATGGGAGAGGAGGGTGTACAAGAGAGAAGGGTGAACGGGAGAAGAGAGTGCAAACGGAAAAACAAGCAGGATTGCAGAGGCGAAGAGATAGCAGAGGCGAAGAGATAGCAGAGGCGAAGAGATAGCAGAGGCGAAGAGATAGTAAAACATCAGATGGGAAGGGGGGGGAGGGAGCAAAGGAAGGTGGGCAGGGAATGGGGGCATGGAGAGTTAGTAGCAGGGATGGGCGATGGAGGGAGTGGAGAGTGGAAGTGCGATGGCCACTGACCAGAGCTGCCACCGATGAGGCACGCTGGGTGTTGCTGGGTTCGGCTGGTTCACCAGTGATTGCACTAGTGGCGTCAGCGGCAGCATCAGCAGGATCTTCCCGGGCACCTGCTCGTGACGTTTGTGCTGCTGCTGCTGGTGACGTTTGTGCTGCTGCTGGTGGTGCTGGTGGTGCAGCGGGGGCGGCATGGAAGGCTGCAAGCTCAGTGCCGCCGTACGACTGCGCGCGGCGAGACGCCTTCCTGCATGGCTTGGCCCCCGCGGCTGGCTGGAAGGGTGGGAGAGGGGGGGGAGACGAGAGGCGAGGAGAGGCGTGAATGCGGGGAGGGGGGGGGGGGGCCAGAGAGGAGAGGATAGTGTGGACGTGTCAAAGGAAGGAGGCGCACACAGAGCAGCGATGGTGGAGGCGGAGGGGGGCGCGGATGCTGCTGGTGACTCCAGCGGTAAATGTGATGATGATGACGTCATGCATGCCGATGTGGATGCTGACGAAGCAGATGCTGACGTGGATGCCGAAGCTGACGTGGATGCAGAGGTCGCTGACGAGACAGAGGAGGAGCGCGAGGGCACAGGGGAAGCAGAAGCTGATGGAGGGTGGGAGGGAGGTCGTGATGAGGTGGATGAAGACGATGCTGACTTGGCAGACACTGCAAATGTGGAAGGGGGGGCTGACGTGGCAGAGACAGGTCCAGAATCGCCCACTGCCACGTCACGCTCTACAGCGTCCTTTATCCGCACCTCCTCACTCACGTCTCCCCCCGTCTCCCTCCCGCCTCCCACCCCATCGCATGAGCCTGCCCTGCCTCCTCTGCGGCTCTTCCTCTGCTGCTTGCGCTTGCCCACCTCACCACCGCTCTGCACTCCTTCCCCTCTGCCTTCTTCTGCTACTGCCTCCACCCTCCCCGCATCTTCCCCACGCGCCTCTCTCGCTGCTACAGCCTGCTCGTGCTGCCATGGCCCATGCGGCCCCTCCTGCGTGTGGCCCTGTGCATGCGCGCCCCCTGCCGCGGGGGGCAGCGGCAGGGCAGGGAAGTCACTGTGGCCCAGCGACGACCCCGCGCTGCCTGCTGCTGCCACGGCGGGCGACGCGCACCCTGATGCCGGAGGGGAGGAGGCAAGATGTGAGGGGGCAGCGGGGCGGTGCAGAGCGGTGGAGGGCAGCAGCGGAGAGGAGGCATTGCGGCGATGACCCCTGGGGGCCGCCAGGCTGGGGGGGGGAAGAGGGGGAGGGGGGTGGGGCAGCATGGACGTATGGGGGGCACAAGAGCAGCGAAAGGGGAGTGAGCAGCAGATGGAGGGGGGGCATGGAGTGGAGCGGCACGGATGGTGGCTTGCCCATGGTGGCTTGCCCATGGTGGCTTGCCCATGGTGGCTTGCCCATGGTGGCTTGCCCATGGTGGCTTGCCCATGCTGGCAGCCTTTGCACCCAAGGCTGACCCACACATGCCTCCCACCCCACGCATGGCGCTGACTCACAACGCATGCAGCACCAAGCTGCAGCTCTGGCAGCACACGAGCCACACCTGCCCACACTCTTCCTCCCCGCACTCTGCCTGCCCACACTCTGCCTGCCCACACTCTGCCTGCCCACACTCTGCCTGCCCACACTCTGCCTCCCCGCACTCTGCACCCACCCCTCTCCCTCACCAACACTGCCTCGCCCCCACTCTCACCCCTGCACTTCCCCTTTCTTCACCTCACCACTCTATATTATCCCAACCCTCCCCCCATCGCATTCACTCCCCCTCACCCAACCCACCTGCTTCTCCAATGCTATCATCCACACCCCATCCCACGCCCACCCTCTCGCTTCAACACCCATCACCCTAATTAAACCACTCCCTCCTCTTGCTATGAGCCCATGCCCATGCGCCCATGCCTTGCGCCCATGCCCTGCGCCCATGCCTTGCGCCCCTGCCCTGCGCCCATGCCCTGCGCCCATGCCCTGCGCCCCTGCCCTGCGCCCATGCCCTGCGCCCCTGCCCTGCGCCCATGCCCTGCGCCCATGCCCTGCGCCCCTGCCCTGCGCCCATGCCCTGCGCCCCTGCCCTGCGCCCATGCCCTGCGCCCATGCCCTGCGCCCCTGCCCTGCCCATGCCATCCCCCCCCAGGCGTACATGTGGGCCTCCTCAGCGGCGGCCTCGCGGCTGAGCTTCTTCCCAACGCACTCCACGCTCACCACCAGCACCGCCCCCGCCGGCCTCTCAGCAGCCGCCACGTCAGCCAGCATGGCGGGCCCGGGCGCCACCTTGAGGCGGCGCTCCACCGCCCCGTCGCAGTCCGCCAGCTCAGCCAGGTCCAGCTGCGCCCGACCCAGAGGCTCGGGCCGAGCCTGGAAGGCAGGCTCGGATGGTGCATCGGGTGGGTGGCTCGGGTGGGCGGTGGCGGCGGGCAGCGCGTGGTGGAGCGTGAAGGTGGCGGCCTTGCGCAGGTAGGGCGCCGTGGGCGCGCCCCTCTCCCTGTACAGCGTCACTGGGATCTGCCCGCAGGCGAGGCGGACAGGGCGGGCGGGAAATGGGGGGAATAAGGGGGGGAAAAGGGGGGAAAAGGGGGGGAAAGGGGGGGAAAGGGAGGCAAAGGGGGAAAAGGGGAAAAAAAAGGGGGAACGGGAGGGGAAAAGGGGGAAAAGGGAGGGAAAGTGGGGGAAAAAGGGGAAAGGGGAGGAAAGAGGGAAAAGCAGGGAAAGAGGGGCGAAAAGGGGGAAAGAGTGGGGAACGGGAAGAATGGAGGGAAATGAGGGGGGTGGGGGGTGGTTGAGAGGGCGGAGAAGAAGGATGGGAAGAGGTTGGTGTTAGAGAGGAGGGGAAGACGTTGGGTAAAGGGGAGGGGAGTGGGGGAGGGAGAAGGAGAGGATGCGAATGCAAGGAGAAGCTGGTGGGAGGTGGGGGAGATGGGAGGCGCATGCAGCGTGGGCGTGGGGTGGAGAGGGGTTTGTTGCTGCGTGGGGGACGCAGGTGTGACTGCCCGGTGCCACTCGCCCCGCGGCCCCCATTGTCTCTCCCACCGCCTCAACCACGCCCCGCCATCCCACCACAGCACCACCCCAGGAACCCAGATCCCCCCACCCCCACTCCGTCCCCCCCTCCCCCCTCCCCCCCACGGCCGGGTGCACTCACAGCGTACCCGGAAGGTGTGGCTGAGCGGCACGTGGGGGCCGGCGGGGGGCCACACAGGCGCGGAGAGGCCCGCGCGGCTGTCCCCGCGCTGCCAGCGGATGATGAGCGGCGGGGAGGCGCGCAGCCACCCGCGCAGCTGCCGCCATGGCGGGCGGTTGGCGGGGTAGGGGGCACGATTGGATGAGGGGAAAAGGGAGAGAGAGGGGGCGAAGAGGGAGAGAGAGGGGGCGAAGAGGGAGAGAGAGGGGGCGAAGAGGGAGAGAGAGGGGGCGAAGAGGGAGAGAGAGGGGGCGAAGAGGGAGAGAGAGGGGCTGGAGATCGTTCAGAGGCGCGGCGTGCGGGGACGAGGGGAGACACGCAGATGTGGTGGGGAGCGGAAGACGCATGGAACGACGACGGAAGCGGAACGGGGGGCTCCGGATGGGGGAAGCGGGACGTGGGAAGTGAGGAAGGGGAAGCGGGAAGCGGGAAGGGGGAAGGGGGAAGGGGGACGTGGGGCGGGCGGGGAAGTGGGACCAGCGGAGGCAGACGGGGGGCGGAGCTGACCTCGACGAGGTGAATTTTGAATTCGAATCGAACGGCCACCAGATTCGCCTGCTCAATCTTGCCCGACCCCGATGACGTCAGCGTCTGCCTGCCAGCCGTCGCCATCTTTGCGGCAGGCCGTCACACTAACGGCTTAGCAGCCGGTCCGCTGGCAGCTCAGGCAAAACGTGAGGAGGGCGCGGCGAAGAGGAGGCTCAGCGGCCCAACGGGGCCCGTCGGCGGTGTGCGCGATTGGGATTGCGGGGAGGCATGGGGATGAATGAGAGGCCACGGGCTTGATCGTCACTGCACTGGTGATGGCCACAGGCGCGAGCATGGCGCGCGCCGTTGATGCGCGGCGGACGGGCGTCGCTGCACAGAGCGGGCTGGCCGCACCCGCGTGCTCCGCTAGCGATGGTCGTCCCGCGCGGTGCTGCGCACACGACGACAACGACAGCGAGCAACGTGTGGGGCGCTACGAGCAGGTGGCGGTAATGTGGGTGGACAGGTGATACGGAGGCGATAGTTGATGCCGCATCACTCGGAGTTGTGGGGATAGGGTAGCGAGCGAGTAGGAAGGTTGTAGCAACGTGCAGCTTCAAAGGTGGCGAGGCCAATAAGCAGATGATGGACGCGGTGCCAGGGAAAAGGAGAGAGCCCTGTGGCCGCCATACGCCAGCTACACGGGCTGTTGGCGAGATATGGCGCAAAACAAGGCATACACCTTTTTCAAGTGCAGCTTATCATGTTATGAATGAACTTGCAGAGTGCGCAGTAAAACGAATAACGAGAATACTTGAACTACAGAATGACGATACAATAAGGCACGCCAAAATAGGGTAAAAGCTGGCTAGGCGAAGAGGTAGGGCGAAGATGGTTCGGTGATGGTTGCGATTGGAGCGGAGGCCGTAGTGCCATAACTACGGTCATGCCTTCATTCCTGTTTCTTCACATCTGCAACTTGTAAAGGCATCGTGCTTCATTTCATATGGGCATCGTGCTTCATTTCATATGGGCATCGTGCTTCATTTCATATGGGTGTGAGTACATCAATCTCGTCCAATGATAACTACGATTACAGCAAGAAATTTAGAGACAATTACTACATGGGTGGGTGGGTGGGAAACTCAAACTTCGAAATTGAAAAGAAGAACGTGGGTGAGGCCGAATGGCCTCAACCCCCTCTTTTGTAGCCAAAAGAGGGCGAGTAGCGATGCGACGCTGCCTTTGCTGCGTTGCAATCGCTACACTTTCACAATACACAATTTTTGAAAAATGTTACACACTTTTAAAAATTTACATATTGTGAAAGCTTGCTTTTTGCAACTTGTAAAGGCATCGTGCTTCATTTCATATGGGCCTTCTGAGACATGCGGGTGGTCGGTCGGCGATGCCGCTGGATAGACAATTGGTGCTGGTTCGGGGAGGGAGCCCGTGTAGGATCCTGAATCAGCTGGGAGGCAGCCACCAGCTGGTCGTGGGCGATGGTGACGTAGAGGTCTTTTGCGTTGTCGCTGCGCCAACGGCCCAACCGCTTGAACATCCTGTCTGAGACTCCGATGCCTGCCGCCGTCGTTGCTGCTCCTTTGCGGAAGGAGTGCGTGCCAAGGTGGTTGGCGTCGAGGCCAACCAATTGCGGAGTTGCTTTGGAGTCATGTGTGAACACCCGTATCAGTGGTCCTTTGGTCGAGGTGTCATAGCCGGCAAGCGAGATGAACTGTCTGGTGATCTTTACTGGGCAGTATGGTCCGGGTGTAGTCGCGATTGGGACCCATATTCCCTTGCCTTCTTGGTCCGTTTTGGAGTGGGGAATCAATAGCCACATCGCCGCCTCCTCAAACTGGATGTCTTGCCACTGAATTGCGACGAGGTCCGTGTTAGAGTATAGGCATGAATGGATGTTGAGTATCGAGAGAGTTGGTACAAAGGAGAAACCTAAGGGGTTGTACCCCACAGTGAGTACCCCACTAAGCCTACCCAAACTATAATATATATATATATATATATATGTTTGACACACCCCCATAGGCAAAGTGGGGGAAAACAGAGGGTCACAAGACCAGTCAGGAAATGCAAAGCAAGCTCAGGGTGGATCACAACGTCACCACGCAGTTTGAGCACAAGCAAAAAGGTCACAAGGCCAGTTCACATGCAGAGATATATATGTAACAGTCAACAGCACAGTGATCTCTACCTACGAGAGCAAGCATGCAGGTATACATATAGATCACAGTACAAACAAAGCCTACAGCAAGTGAGGAAGCGTGGGTACAAGGCCTACGAAAGTACAGAAACGCTGATGATCACAAGGCGGAAGTGCCTTGGTGAATATATCAGCAGTGTTGGCCCGAGTGGCCACGTGAGCAAGACGAAGCTGGCCACGCTGCTGCAACTCTCGAGCAAGGAAGTAATGCAGAGCGATGTGCTTCGTTCTGTGCTCCAGTCTGTGCTCCTGACACAAGGCAATGGCGGCCTTGTTGTCAACGTACAGCACTGGAGGAGAACGAGGCCGCTCTCCCAAGTCGGTAAGTAGGTAGGTGAGCCAGCGTAGCTCCTGTACAGCCATGGCTGTGGCGTAGATCTCAGCCTCACAACTGGAGCCGAGAACTGAAGACGAGCGTGTAGAACGCCAGGAAACTGAACCAGAGCCAAGGCTGAAGGTTTAACCCTGTAACGACCGCTGAGTAGCCTGGTCGTCAACCCAAGAAGCGTCCGAGTGACCAGTGAGGACAACGTCACCCCGTCCTCCAAGCACGAGCCCCATGCCCGATGTACTGCACAAGTAGCGTAGTACCCTCTCAGCAGCATCCATGTGCACCTTTCGGTGCCGACCAGGAGCCACGTAGCGAGCCAGAAGGCCAAGAGGGTACGCAAGGTCAGGACGAGTGCAGGTCATCAGGTACATGAGGCAGCCCACTAGCTCTGGGTAAGGACCACTCGGCTCTACGGACTCGTCCGAAGGTGGAGCTGAGAGCGAGTGACCTGTAGCCAGAGGAGTGGCCTGTGCTGAGGACCAGGTGAAGCCGAAGCGCTGAAGGACCTGCTGCACCATGTGTGACTGAGTCAGTGTGATGGTGCGGCGTGCCCTGTCCCGGGTGATCTGCAAGCCAAGGTAGCTGCGCAGCTCACCCAGGTCTGTGCACGTGTGTCTCTTCTGCTGCTCCGACTTCACCAGGGCGAGAGCCTCAGTGTCAGCAGTGGCAAAGACCAAGTCGTCGACGTACACGAGGATGTAGAACGGCGGCAGCGAAGTGTCGGTGCGCAGAAACAGCGACGGGTCAGCAGTCGACGGGGCAAACCCAAGAGCCGCAAGAGTCGTCCTCAGTGTGTCGTGCCACTCACGTGGAGCCCGACGGAGACCGTAGACTGGCCGCCGAAGGCTCCACTGGGTACCAGGAGGGAACGACCCAGTGAAGCCAAGTGGGCGGCGCAGCCAGATCTCCTCGTGCAGACTGCCCTGCAAGAAGGCTGTGCTGAAGTCAAGAGAGTGAAGCTCGTAGTCACGCTGAGCGGCAACGTGCAGCAGCACCCGAAGAGTGGTCATCTTCGGGGTGGGGGAGAAGTTCTAGAAGAAGTCAACTCCCTCACGCTGACTGAAGCCTCGAGCAACGTAACGAGCCTTGAAGACAGGTGGAGAACCCGGCGGCCGCTTCACCCTGAAAATCCACATGCCACTGACGATGTTCGCCCCAGGTGGGGGAACCTCGTCGACGTAAGTGCCTGTGGACTTCCAGGAAGCCATCTCTGCGTCCATGGCTGAGAGGAGTAGGGACCCGCGATCGCCTCAGCGTACGATCGCGGAGTCGGGATGTCTGGTGCATCTGGGTCTCCCTCAGGAGCAAGCATTATGGCCACGAGATGAGGCGCAGCGGCTGCAAGACACTCAAGGTCCTCCTGCCTGTCCTCAAGGACGTCCGTTCCAAGAGCACACTCACCCCCGACGGACGGAGGACAGACAGACTCAGACTCAGCAACAAGACTAGCGGCGTAGTCTAGACGACAGGCAGCAGCAAAGTCAACCAGCTCAGCGACTAAGGCAGACGCAGCAGCAGACTCAAAAGACGGGTCAGTGACAACAGTAGCAAGCAGACGCGTGACAGTAGGGTGCTCAGCACGACACTGGTCAGACGCAGGGTCAGCGACGACAGGTAGAGAGGACGCAGGCGGAGACGGCAGAGGAACACGCGACGGAGGAGAGGGAGGACGACGGACTACAAGGTGAGGGCCGGGGACAGCCGGCTGACGCTGACGAGGAACACGACTACCGGAACGACCAGAACGGACAGGTGAGACAGGACGCGACGCAGGCTCACGACGCTCAGCAAGGCCCCCTGTCTGCTCAGTGTACGGTGAAGGTTTAGGCAGCGGTGAGCCAGGCTGTAACGGAAGACCAGTAGACGAAGGGAGACTAAGAACCTGGCGAAGCGCAGAGTCAGGCGGTGGCTGAGACGACGGAGACGGCGGAGCGAAGAACAGGCGCGGCTGCGCAGTGCCACCAGCACCAGCAGCTCCAGCACCTCCAGCAGCTCTTGTACCCTCAGCAGCTCCAGTACCTCCAGTACCAGCGCCACCAGCTGCAGCACCCCCAGAACTGGCACCTCCAGTCCCAGGGTCTCCAGCCTCAGTGTCTCCAGCAGCAGCACCCCCAGACCCAGTGTCTCCAGGAATAGCACCCTCAGGCTCAGCACCTCCAGCTCCAGCAGCTCCAGTACCTCTAGTACGAGCACCTCCGGGACCAGCACCACTCCCAGCTCCAGTGACGTCAGCAGAAGTACCTCCGGCGGCAGAGCCCCGAGCTCCAGAAGTGCGACCCTGACGGCGACCGTACCAGTCGTGCAGCTGCTGTGAGGTGAGAGGCACACGCGGACGAAGGCGGCTACTCCAAGGAGACCGCGCAATAGCAGACTCAGAACCCTCATCGCTAGCACCCGCAGCAGCCCCACAGCCCCCAGCGCTAGTACCCGCAGTAGCTCCAGAACCTCCAGCTCCAGCGCCACCAGCTCCAGCACCTCCAGCAGCTCCAGAACCTCCAGCTCCAGCACCCTCAGTAGCTCCAGAGCCTCCAGCAAAAACAACTCCAGTAGCAGAGTCACCAGCTCCAGCGCCTCCCGCAGCCGGGCCGCGAG